AAATGATTACCTTGATGGCTGACCCTAACCCTAAAGAGAGCAAATGATTACCTTGATGGCTAACCCTAACCCTAAAGAGAGCAAATGATTACCTTGATGGCTGACCCTAACCCTAACCCTAAAGAGAGCAAATGATTACCTTGATGGCTGACCCTAACCCTAAAGAGAGCAAATGATTACCTTGATGGCTAACCCTAACCCTAACCCTAAAGAGAGCAAATGATTACCTTGATGGCTGACCCTAACCCTAACCCTAAAGAGAGCAAATAATTACCTTGATGGCTGACTCTAACCCTAAAGAGAGCAAATGATTACCTTGATGGCTGACCCTAACCCTAAAGAGAGCAAATGATTACCTTGATGGCTAACCCTAACCCTAAAGAGAGCAAATGATTATCTTGATGGCTGACCCGAACCCTAACCCTAAAGAGAGCAAATGATTACCTTGATGGCTAACCCTAACCCTAAAGAGAGCAAATGATTACCTTGATGGCTGACCCTAACCCTAACCCTAAAGAGAGCAAATGATTACCTTGATGGCTAACCCTAACCCTAAAGAGAGCAAATGATTACCTTGATGGCTGACCCTAACCCTAACCCTAAAGAGAGCAAATGATTACCTTGATGGCTAACCCTAACCCTAACCCTAAAGAGAGCAAATGATTACCTTGATGGCTGACCCTAACCCTAAAGAGAGCAAATGATTACCTTGATGGCTAACCCTAACCCTAAAGAGAGCAAATGATTACCTTGATGGCTAACCCTAACCCTAAATAGAGCAAATGATTACCTTGATGGCTGACCCTAACCCTAACCCTAAAGAGAGCAAATAATTACCTTGATGGCTGACCCTAACCCTAAAGAGAGCAAATGATTACCTTGATGGCTGACCCTAACCCTAAAGAGAGCAAATGATTACCTTGATGGCTAACCCTAACCCTAAAGAGAGCAAATGATTACCTTGATGGCTGACCCTAACCCTAAAGAGAGCAAATGATTACCTTGATGGCTGACCCTAACCCTAAAGAGAGCAAATGATTACCTTGATGGCTAACCCTAACCCTATAGAGAGCAAATGATTACCTTGATGGCTGACCCTAACCCTAACCCTAAAGAGAGCAAATGATTACCTTGATGGCTGACCCTAACCCTAAAGAGAGCAAAAGATTACCTTGATGGCTAACCCTAACCCTAAAGAGAGCAAATGATTACCTTGATGGCTGACCCTAACCCTAAAGAGAGCAAATGATTACCTTGATGGCTAACCCTAACCCTAAAGAGAGCAAATGATTACCTTGATGGCTGACCCTAACCCTAAAGAGAGCAAATGATTACCTTGATGGCTGACCCTAACCCTAAAGAGAGCAAATAATTACCTTGATGGCTGACCCTAACCCTAACCCTAAAGAGAGCAAATGATTACCTTGATGGCTGACCCTAACCCTAACCCTAAAGAGAGCAAATGATTACCTTGATGGCTAACCCTAACCCTAACCCTAAAGAGAGCAAATGATTACCTTGATGGCTGACCCTAACCCTAAAGAGAGCAAATGATTACCTTGATGGCTAACCCTAACCCTAAAGAGAGCAAATGATTACCTTGATGGCTAACCCTAACCCTAACCCTAAAGAGAGCAAATGATTACCTTGATGGCTGACCCTAACCCTAACCCTAAAGAGAGCAAATAATTACCTTGATGGCTGACCCTAACCCTAAAGAGAGCAAATGATTACCTTGATGGCTGACCCTAACCCTAAAGAGAGCAAATGATTACCTTGATGGCTAACCCTAACCCTAAAGAGAGCAAATGATTACCTTGATGGCTGACCCTAACCCTAACCCTAAAGAGAGCAAATGATTACCTTGATGGCTGACCCTAACCCTAAAGAGAGCAAATGATTACCTTGATGGCTAACCCTAACCCTAAAGAGAGCAAATGATTACCTTGATGGCTGACCCTAACCCTAACCCTAAAGAGAGCAAATAATTACCTTGATGGCTGACCCTAACCCTAAAGAGAGCAAATGATTACCTTGATGGCTGACCCTAACCCTAAAGAGAGCAAATGATTACCTTGATGGCTAACCCTAACCCTAAAGAGAGCAAATGATTACCTTGATGGCTGACCCTAACCCTAACCCTAAAGAGAGCAAATGATTACCTTGATGGCTGACCCTAACCCTAAAGAGAGCAAAAGATTACCTTGATGGCTAACCCTAACCCTAAAGAGAGCAAATGATTACCTTGATGGCTGACCCTAACCCTAAAGAGAGCAAATGATTACCTTGATGGCTAACCCTAACCCTAAAGAGAGCAAATGATTACCTTGATGGCTGACCCTAACCCTAAAGAGAGCAAATGATTACCTTGATGGCTGACCCTAACCCTAAAGAGAGCAAATAATTTCCTTGATGGCTGACCCTAACCCTAACGAGAGCAAATGATTACCTTGATGGCTGACCCTAACCCTAAAGAGAGCAAATAATTACCTTGATGGCTGACCCTAACCCTAACCCTAAAGAGAGCAAATGATTACCTTAATGGCTGACCCTAACCCTAAAGAGAGCAAATGATTACCTTGATGGCTAACCCTAACCCTAAAGAGAGCAAATAATTACCTTGATGGCTGACCCTAACCCTTACCCTAAAGAGAGCAAATGATTACCTTGATGGCTGACCCTAACCCTAAAGAGAGCAAATGATTACCTTGATGGCTGACCCTAACCCTAAAGAGAGTAAATGATTACCTTGATGGCTGACCCTAACCCTAAAGAGAGCAAATGATTACCTTGATGGCTGACCCTAACCCTAAAGAGAGCAAATAATTACCTTGATGGCTGACCCGAACCCTAACCCTAAAGAGAGCAAATGATTACCTTGATGGCTGACCCTAACCCTAACCCTAAAGAGAGCAAATGATTACCTTGATGGCTGACCCTAACCCTAACCCTAAAGAGAGCAAATAATTACCTTGATGGCTGACCCTAACCCTAAAGAGAGCAAATGATTACCTTGATGGCTGACCCTAACCCTAAAGAGAGCAAATGATTACCTTGATGGCTAACCCTAACCCTAAAGAGAGCAAATGATTACCTTGATGGCTGACCCTAACCCTAACCCTAAAGAGAGCAAATGATTACCTTGATGGCTGACCCTAACCCTAAAGAGAGCAAATGATTACCTTGATGGCTAACCCTAACCCTAACCCTAAAGAGAGCAAATGATTACCTTGATGGCTGACCCTAACCCTAACCCAAAAGAGAGCAAATGATTACCTTGATGGCTGACCCTAACCCTAAAGAGAGCAAATGATTACCTTGATGGCTGACCCTAACCCTAACCCTAAAGAGAGCAAATGATTACCTTGATGACTGACCCTAACCCTAAAGAGAGCAAATGATTACCTTGATGGCTGACCCTAACCCTAAAGAGAGCAAATGATTACCTTGATGGCTGACCCTAACCCTAACCCTAACCCTAAAGAGAGCAAATGATTACCTTGATGGCTAACCCTAACCCTAAAGAGAGCAAATGATTACCTTGATGGCTGACCCTAACCCTAAAGAGAGCAAATGATTACCTTGATGGCTGACCCTAACCCTAAAGAGAGCAAATGATTACCTTGATGGCTGACCCTAACCCTAACGCTAAAGAGAGCAAATGATTACCTTGATGGCTGACCCTAAAGAGAGCAAATGATTACCTTGATGGCTGACCCTAACCCTAAAGAGAGTAAATGATTACCTTGATGGCTGACCCTAACCCTAAAGAGAGCAAATGATTACCTTGATGGCTGACCCTAACCCTAAAGAGAGCAAATGATTACCTTGATGGCTGACCCTAACCCTAACCCTAACCCTAAAGAGAGCAAATGATTACCTTGATGGCTGACCCTAACCCTAACCCTAACCCTAAAGAGAGCAAATGATTACCTTGATGGCTAACCCTAACCCTAAAGAGAGCAAATGATTACCTTGATGGCTGACCCTAACCCTAACCCTAAAGAGAGCAAATGATTACCTTGATGGCTGACCCTAACCCTAACCCTAAAGAGAGCAAATGATTACCTTGATGGCTGACCCTAACCCTAAAGAGAGCAAAAGATTACCTTGATGGCTGACCCTAACCCTAACCCTAAAGAGAGCAAATGATTACCTTGATGGCTGACCCTAACCCTAAAGAGAGCAAATGATTACCTTGATGGCTGACCCTAACCCTAACCCTAAAGAGAGCAAATGATTACCTTGATGGCTGACCCTAACCCTAAAGAGAGCAAAAGATTACCTTGATGGCTGACCCTAACCCTAACCCTAAAGAGAGCAAATGATTACCTTGATGGCTGACCCTAACCCTAAAGAGAGCAAAAGATTACCTTGATGGCTGACCCTAACCCTAACCCTAAAGAGAGCAAATGATTACCTTGATGGCTGACCCTAACCCTAAAGAGAGCAAAAGATTACCTTGATGGCTGACCCTAACCCTAACCCTAAAGAGAGCAAATGATTACCTTGATGGCTGACCCTAACCCTAAAGAGAGCAAATGATTACCTTGATGGCTGACCCTAACCCTAAAGAGAGCAAATGATTACCTTGATGGCTGACCCTAACCCTAAAGAGAGCAAATGATTACCTTGATGGCTGACCCTAACCCTAAAGAGAGCAAATGATTACCTTGATGGCTGACCCTAAAGAGAGCAAATGATTACCTTGATGGCTGACCCTAAAGAGAGCAAATGATTACCTTGATGGCTGACCCTAAAGAGAGCAAATGATTACCTTGATGGCTGACCCTAACCCTAAAGAGAGCAAATGATTACCTTGATGGCTGACCCTAACCCTAACCCTAAAGAGAGCAAATGATTACCTTGATGGCTGACCCTAACCCTAACCCTAAAGAGAGCAAATGATTACCTTGATGGCTGACCCTAACCCTAACCCTAAAGAGAGCAAATGATTACCTTGATGGCTGACCCTAACCCTAAAGAGAGCAAATGATTACCTTGATGGCTGACCCCAGACCATTGAGGCTCTTCAAATGTTGGCCCCTCTTTGGATATCAATTCATTCAGTTCATTGTCCTTAGGGTACTCTGTTAGCCTGGTGAAAGAAATAAAGCGGGAGTGATCTCCCCTAACCTTTCTCTGGATATAATCATGATTTGTAATCTATTTTGTTTTAACTTCAACTTTGTAAGGTAGAAAAAAGAATTGCACACAAAGTGAACAGCAAAAAATGTGTGTGTAATAGTGCAGAATATGAGTGCTTTATATGTGTCTTTTGCAAAATCACAAAAAGCATAAAGTACTACTTCTGGTAAATGGAAATTACTGAAAATTTGAAAGCAGGCAGAAAATTAGATCATTTACTTAATGTAAAATTTTGTTTATCTATCTGAAACAGTACTCAAGTTATACACTTTTGAAAAACCAAAAGTAGAATCAGTTCAATTGCCTGTTAGGAAACTCTGAAAAGTTGATACAGAACTACAAATTTGATATATTTCTTATATATGAAATTTGTGAAAATCTCGATTATTTCGATTTTTTGCACGATAACAATTCTTCCTCCATACTTTAAATATGAGAAAGTAAAGAAAAAAGGCCAATCAGCTAGCTCTTCCATGCGACATATGCTAGCTCTTAAAAATAATAGCTAAAGATCAACTTACAAATAATAAGTACATTTCAACTTACAAATAATAGCTAAAGTTCAACTTACAAATAATAGCTAAAGTTCAACTTACAAATAATAGCTAAAGTTCAACTTACAAATAATACATAATGATTCCCATAGCCCAGACATCCACCGGGTAGGAATAAGTTGAATTCATTTCAGGAGCTGTATACAATCATCAACATTATCATAAGACACAATCAACATCATCATAAGACACAATCAACATCATCATAAGACACAATCAACATCATCATAAGACACAATCATCAACATCATAAGACACAATCATCAACATCATAAGGCAACATCAACATCATCATAAGACACAATCAACAACATCATAAGACACAATCAACATCATAGGACACAATCAACAACATTATAAGGCAACATCAACAACATCATAAGACACAATCAACAACATCATAAGACACAATCAACAACATCATAAGACACAATCAACATCATTATAAGGCAACATCAACATCATCATAAGACAACATCAAAATCATCATAAGGCAACATCTAAGCCACACTTACCCATGTAAGATGGTCTACCTTTACTTACCCATGTAAGATGGTCTACTACACTTACCCATGTAAGATGGTCTACCTTTACTTACCCATGTAAGATGGTCTACCTTTACTTACCCATGTAAGATGGTCTACCTTTACTTACCCATGTAAGACGGTCTACCTTTAATTACCCATGTAAGATGGTCTACCTTTACTTACCCATGTAAGATGGTCTACCACACTTACCCATGTAAGATGGTCTACCACACTTACCCATGTAAGATGGTCTACCACACTTACCCATGTAAGATGGTCTACCACACTTACCCATGTAAGATGGTCTACCACACTTACCCATGTAAGATGGTCTACCACACTTACCCATGTAAGATGGTCTACCACACTTACCCATGTAAGATGGTCTACTACACTTACCCATGTAAGATGGTCTACCACACTTACCCATGTAAGATGGTCTACCACACTTACCCATGTAAGATGGTCTACCACACTTACCCATGTAAGATGGTCTACCACACTTACCCATGTAAGATGGTCTACCACACCTACCCATGTAAGATGGTCTACCTTTACTTACCCATGTAAGATGGTCTACCTTTACTTACCCATGTAAGATGGTCTACCACACTTACCCATGTAAGATGGTCTACCACACTTACCCATGTAAGATGGTCTACCACACCTACCCATGTAAGACGGTCTACCACACCTACCCATGTAAGATGGTCTACCTTTACCTACCCATGTAAGATGGTCTACCTTTACTTACCCATGTAAGATGGTCTACCTTTACTTACCCATGTAAGATGGTCTACCACACTTACCCATGTAAGATGGTCTACCACACCTACCCATGTAAGACGGTCTACCACACCTACCCATGTAAGATGGTCTACCTTTACTTACCCATGTAAGATGGTCTACCACACTTACCCATGTAAGATGGTCTACCTTTACTTACCCATGTAAGATGGTCTACCACACTTACCCATGTAAGATGGTCTACCACACTTACCCATGTAAGATGGTCTACCACACTTACCCATGTAAGATGGTCTACCTTTACTTACCCATGTAAGACGGTCTACCACACTTACCCATGTAAGATGGTCTACCACACTTACCCATGTAAGATGGTCTACCACACTTACCCATGTAAGATGGTCTACCACACTTACCCATGTAAGATGGTCTACCTTTACTTACCCATGTAAGATGGTCTACCACACTTACCCATGTAAGATGGTCTACCACACCTACCCATGTAAGACGGTCTACCACACTTACCCATGTAAGATGGTCTACCTTTACTTACCCATGTAAGATGGTCTACCACACTTACCCATGTAAGATGGTCTACCACACTTACCCATGTAAGATGGTCTACCACACTTACCCATGTAAGATGGTCTACCACACTTACCCATGTAAGATGGTCTACCACACTTACCCATGTAAGATGGTCTACCACACTTACCCATGTAAGATGGTCTACCTTTACTTACCCATGTAAGACGGTCTACCACACTTACCCATGTAAGATGGTCTACCTTTACTTACCCATGTAAGATGGTCTACTACACTTACCCATGTAAGATGGTCTACCCCACTTACCCATGTAAGATGGTCTACCCCACTTACCCATGTAAGATGGTCTACCACACTTACCCATGTAAGATGGTCTACCACACTTACCCATGTAAGATGGTCTACCACACTTACCCATGTAAGATGGTCTACCACACTTACCCATGTAAGATGGTCTACCACACTTACCCATGTAAGATGGTCTACCACACTTACCCATGTAAGATGGTCTACCACACTTACCCATGTAAGATGGTCTACCTTTACTTACCCATGTAAGACGGTCTACCACACTTACCCATGTAAGATGGTCTACCTTTACTTACCCATGTAAGATGGTCTACCACACTTACCCATGTAAGATGGTCTACCCCACTTACCCATGTAAGATGGTCTACCCCACTTACCCATGTAAGATGGTCTACCACACTTACCCATGTAAGATGGTCTACCACACTTACCCATGTAAGATGGTCTACCACACTTACCCATGTAAGATGGTCTACCACACTTACCCATGTAAGATGGTCTACCACACTTACCCATGTAAGATGGTCTACCTTTACTTACCCATGTAAGATGGTCTACCACACTTACCCATGTAAGATGGTCTACCTTTACTTACCCATGTAAGACGGTCTACCACACTTACCCATGTAAGATGGTCTACCACACTTACCCATGTAAGATGGTCTACCACACTTACCCATGTAAGATGGTCTACCTTTACTTACCCATGTAAGATGGTCTACCTTTACTTACCCATGTAAGATGGTCTACTACACTTACCCATGTAAGATGGTCTACCTTTACTTACCCATGTAAGATGGTCTACCTTTACTTACCCATGTAAGATGGTCTACCACACTTACCCATGTAAGATGGTCTACCACACTTACCCATGTAAGATGGAGTACCACAGTATTGCTCTTGCATGTTTTCAAAAGTACTGGATGTTTGTTGAGTAGATAATCCAAAGTCAGAGACCTGCAATTAAACAATACTGACATTGTCAGTGACACCAACTTTATGTGGGACATTTGCGTTTGTGTGGGGAAATTACATTTGCATTTGTGTGGGGAAATTACATTTGCATTTGTGTGGGTAATTTACATTTGCATTTGTGTGTGTAATTTTCATTTGCATTTGTGTGGGGAATTTGCACAGGGACATTCAAATCTGTGTGGGACATTCAAATCTGTGTGGGACATTCAAATCTGTGTGGGATGTGGGACATTCAAATCTGTGTGGGACATTCAAATCTGTGTGGGATGTGGGACATTCAAATCTGTGTGGGACATTCAAATCTTTGTGGGACATTCAAATCTGTGTGGGACATTCAAATCTGTGTAGGATGTGGGACATTCAAATCTGTGTTGGACATTCAAATCTGTGTGGGATGTGGGACATTCAAATCTGTGTGGGATGTGGGACATTCAAATCTGTGTGGGATGTGGGACATTCAAATCTGTGTGGGACATTCAAATCTGTGAGGGACATTCAAATCTGTGTGGGATGTGGGACATTCAAATCTGTGTGGGATGTGGGACATTCAAATCTGTGTGGGACATTCAAATCTGTGTGGGACATTCAAATCTGTGTTGGACATTCAAATCTGTGTGGGACATTCAAATCTGTGTGGGATGTGGGACATACAAATCTGTGTGGGCCATTCAAATCTGTGTGGGACATTCAAATCTGTGTTGGACATTCAAATCTGTGTGGGACATTCAAATCTGTGTGGGACATTCAAATCTGTGTGGGACATTCAAATCTGTGTGGGATGTGGGACATTCAAATCTGTGTAGGATGTGGGACATTCAAATCTGTGTTGGACATTCAAATCTGTGTTGGACATTCAAATCTGTGTGGGACATTCAAATCTGTGTGGGATGTGGGACATTCAAATCTGTGTGGAATGTGGGACATTCAAATCTGTGTGGGATGTGGGACATTCAAATCTGTGTGGGACATTCAAATCTGTGTGGGACATTCAAATCTGTGTGGGACATTCAAATCTGTGTGGGATGTGGGACATTCAAATCTGTGTGGGATGTGGGACATTCAAATCTGTGTGGGATGTGGGACATTCAAATCTGTGTGGGACATTCAAATCTGTGTTGGACATTCAAATCTGTGTGGGATGTGGGACATTCAAATCTGTGTGGGACATTCAAATCTGTGTGGGACATTCAAATCTGTGTGGGACATTCAAATCTGTGTGGGACATTCAAATCTGTGTGGGATCTGGGACATTCAAATCTGTGTGGGATGTGGGACATTCAAATCTGTGTGGGACATTCAAATCTGTGTGGGACATTCAAATCTGTGTGGGATGTGGGACATTCAAATCTGTGTGGGATGTGGGACATTCAAATCTGTGTGGGACATTCAAATCTGTGTGGGACATTCAAATCTGTGTGGGATGTGGGACATTCAAATCTGTGTGGGACATTCAAATCTGTGTGGGACATTCAAATCTGTGAGGGACATTCAAATCTGTGTAGGATGTGGGACATTCAAATCTGTGTGGGACATTCAAATCTGTGTGGGATGTGGGACATTCAAATCTGTGTGGGATGTGGGACATTCAAATCTGTGTGGGATGTGGGACATTCAAATCTGTGTGGGACATTCAAATCTGTGTTGGACATTCAAATCTGTGTTGGACATTCAAATCTGTGTGGGATGTGGGACATTCAAATCTGTGTGGGACATTCAAATCTGTGTGGGACATTCAAATCTGTGTGGGACATTCAAATCTGTGAGGGACATTCAAATCTGTGTAGGATGTGGGACATTCAAATCTGTGTGGGACATTCAAATCTGTGTGGGATGTGGGACATTCAAATCTGTGTGGGATGTGGGACATTCAAATCTGTGTGGGATGTGGGACATTCAAATCTGTGTGGGACATTCAAATCTGTGTTGGACATTCAAATCTGTGTGGGACATTCAAATCTGTGTGGGATGTGGGACATACAAATCTGTGTGGGCCATTCAAATCTGTGTGGGACATTCAAATCTGTGTGGGATGTGGGACATTCAAATCTGTGTGGGACATTCAAATCTGTGTGGGATGTGGGACATTCAAATCTGTGTGGGACATTCAAATCTGTGTGGGACATTCAAATCTGTGTGGGACATTCAAATCTGTGTGGGATGTGGGACATTCAAATCTGTGTGGGATGTGGGACATTCAAATCTGTGTGGAATGTGGGACATTCAAATCTGTGTGGGATGTGGGACATTCAAATCTGTGTGGGATGTGGGACATTCAAATCTGTGTGGGACATTCAAATCTGTGTGGGATGTGGGACATTCAAATCTGTGTGGGACATTCAAATCTGTGTTGGACATTCAAATCTGTGTGGGACATTCAAATCTTTTTAGGATGTGGGACATTCAAATCTGTGAGGGACATTCAAATCTTTTTAGGATGTGGGACATTCAAATCTGTGTGGGACATTCAAATCTGTGTTGGACATTCAAATCTGTGTGGGACATTCAAATCTTTTTAGGATGTGGGACATTCAAATCTGTGTGGGACGTTTAAATCTGTGTTAGACATTCAAATCTGTGTGGGACATTCAAATCTGTGTTGGACATTCAAATCTGTGTGGGACATTCAAATCTTTTTAGGATGTGGGACATTCAAATCTGTGTGGGACATTCAAATCTGTGTGGGACATTCAAATCTGTGAGGGACATTCAAATCTGTGAGGGACATTCAAATCTTTTTAGGATGTGGGACATTCAAATCTGTGTGGGACATTCAAATCTGTGAGGGACATTCAAATCTTTTTAGGATGTGGGACATTCAAATCTGTGTGGGACATTCAAATCTGTGAGGGACATTCAAATCTTTTTAGGATGTGGGACATTCAAATCTGTGTGGGACATTCAAATCTGTGAGGGACATTCAAATCTTTTTAGGATGTGGGACATTCAAATCTGTGTGGGACATTCAAATCTGTGAGGGACATTCAAATCTTTTTAGGATGTGGGACATTCAAATCTGTGTGGGACATTCAAATCTGTGTGGGACATTCAAATCTGTGTGGGATGTGGGACATTCAAATCTGTGTAGGACATTCAAATCTGTGTGGGACATTCAAATCTGTGAGGGACATTCAAATCTGTGTGGGACATTCAAATCTGTGTGGGACATTCAAATCTGTGTGGGACATTCAAATCTGTGTGGGATGTGGGACATTCAAATCTGTGTGGGACATTCAAATCTGTGTGGGATGTGGGACATTCAAATCTGTGTGGGACATTCAAATCTTTGTGGGATGTGGGACATTCAAATCTGTGTGGGATGTGGGACATTCAAATCTGTGTGGGATGTGGGACATTCAAATCTGTGTAGGACATTCAAATCTTTTTAGGATGTGGGACATTCAAATCTGTGTGGGACATTCAAATCTGTGAGGGACATTCAAATCTGTGTGGGATGTGGGACATTCAAATCTTTGTGGGACATTCAAATCTGTGTGGGACATTCAAATCTGTGTGGGACATTCAAATCTTTTTAGGATGTGGGACATTCAAATCTGTGTGGGACATTCAAATCTGTGAGGGACATTCAAATCTGTGTAGGATGTGGGACATTCAAATCTTTGTGGGACATTCAAATCTGTGTGGGACATTCAAATCTGTGTGGGATGTGGGACATTCAAATCTGTGTGGGATGTAGGACATTCAAATCTGTGTAGGACATTCAAATCTGTGTGGGACATTCAAATCTGTGTGGGGCATTCAAATTTGTGTAGGACATTCAAATCTGTGTTGGACATTCAAATCTGTGTTGGACATTCAAATCTGTGTGGGACATTCAAATCTGTGAGGGACATTCAAATCTGTGTTGGACATTCAAATCTGTGTGGGACATTCAAATCTGTGAGGGACATTCAAATCTGTGTGGGACATTCAAATCTGTGTGGGACATTCAAATCTGTGTGGGATGTGGGACATTCAAATCTGTGTGGGACATTCAAATCTGTGTGGGACATTCAAATCTGTGTGGGACATTCAAATCTGTGAGGGACATTCAAATCTGTGTAGGATGTGGGACATTCAAATCTGTGTGGGACATTCAAATCTGTGTGGGATGTGGGACATTCAAATCTGTGTGGGATGTGGGACATTCAAATCTGTGTGGGATGTGGGACATTCAAATCTGTGTGGGACATTCAAATCTGTGTTGGACATTCAAATCTGTGTGGGACATTCAAATCTGTGTGGGATGTGGGACATACAAATCTGTGTGGGACATTCAAATCTGTGTGGGACATTCAAATCTGTGTGGGATGTGGGACATTCAAATCTGTGTGGGACATTCAAATCTGTGTGGGATGTGGGACATTCAAATCTGTGTGGGACATTCAAATCTGTGTGGGACATTCAAATCTGTGTGGGACATTCAAATCTGTGTGGGATGTGGGACATTCAAATCTGTGTGGGATGTGGGACATTCAAATCTGTGTGGAATGTGGGACATTCAAATCTGTGTGGGATGTGGGACATTCAAATCTGTGTGGGATATGGGACATTCAAATCTGTGTGGGACATTCAAATCTGTGTGGGATGTGGGACATTCAAATCTGTGTGGGACATTCAAATCTGTGTTGGACATTCAAATCTGTGTGGGACATTCAAATCTTTTTAGGATGTGGGACATTCAAATCTGTGAGGGACATTCAAATCTTTTTAGGATGTGGGACATTCAAATCTGTGTGGGACATTCAAATCTGTGTTGGACATTCAAATCTGTGTGGGACATTCAAATCTTTTTAGGATGTGGGACATTCAAATCTGTGTGGGACGTTCAAATCTGTGTTGGACATTCAAATCTGTGTGGGACATTCAAATCTTTTTAGGATGTGGGACATTCAAATCTGTGAGGGACATTCAAATCTTTTTAGGATGTGGGACATTCAAATCTGTGTGGGACATTCAAATCTGTGTTGGACATTCAAATCTGT